CTTGAGATGAGAAGTGACCAGGACCTAGGACATTGTGACAAGAGGCTCAGTCTGCTTGCTGTGGCTTCTGCTCTGCCCAGCAGTCAGCATGCTCCCTCTGCCCCCTGTCTTGCCTCTCATGGCCCCTGCATTCCCTCCAGCCAGGGCACTTGGTCTGGACTCTGTGTCAAGCCTCTGACTGGTATCAGCAGGCAGATGCTTGCACCATGGGAGGGATGGGCGGCAGGCAGACCAGAGGCAGCTCTGACCTCTTGGGTCATTGATCTGGGGGAGTGCAGCCCAGGGATGCCAGACAAGCCCCGTTTCTCCCTTGGCTGGACCAGATGGCAGCAGGTCTGCCAGCCTGATGGGTTTGAGCCAGGGGCAGCCCTATCTGAGCTGGGCCCCACTTATAGAATCCTGAACAGTGATGGCCAGTCTTCTAGAAACCAGGAGAGAGCCCCAGACCTGGCTGGAGGGGCTTGAGCCCCACCCTGGGCCTTGGCACCATTTCCTCCTCTCCTCAGTGCCCGTTGACTCTCTTGGGACCTGGGCAAGCAGCCCTGCAGTGTCAGAAAGGGGAAAGGCAGAGCAGGGTAAGGGAAGGAGCTGGGAGTCAGGGGTTCAGATTGTGGCCCTGGCTCTGCCCCTGACTTGTGACTGCGGGAGGGCAGCTTCCTTCCTCTGTGCCTCGGCCACCGATCTGTAGGGGACATGGGCTCCCTCAGGGCCCTTCCAATCCTAGTGGAGGCCAAAGAGCTCAGGGCCGGGTGCTGAAGTCACACAAACCCCAGAGGGGTAAATCACGTCTCATCTCTGCAAAACAGACAATGACTGTACCTGTCTCATGGACATTCATTGTGAGGTACAAATAGTGCAATATGTCAAGTGCTTAGCACAGGGCCTGGCTTTAAAGTGGAAATAGCTATTTTTCATATCCTTGAAGTCTGTGAAGGAACATCTTGTCCCCATACTTCTCAGGAGGAAGTGAAGGCCCCAATGGGGAAAAGATGTGCCACGAGTACTCACAGCCAACAGGAGGACTTGAACTTGGGTCATCTAACTGCAGGTCGTGCTGTGCAGACATTGGCCTGGCAGCTGTTGTCCTCTGTCCCGTGGCTCCCTGCTCCCTCTCCCCTGCAGGTTTGCCTCCTGTGGGGGACATCTCAGAGGACAGTGCTGCTCCCTGACCCCCCACTTCTCTCCCTTCCGAGTCAAGCCTGGCATTACTACAACGAATTCACCACATCACCCTCTGCCTAGACCCTCTGCGGGAGCATTTCTCTCTTGGCCCACTTTCTACAGGTTCTGCCCCTTACGCTCACTGCCCTTAGTGGGACAGGCCTCATGGGGACCCTTTGGCTGGCACGTTTCCCGTGGTGCCTGTCCAGGCCCTGCGGGACCCCGAGGCACTTGGGCATGTGCACATGAGCACCTGAGAGGGCTGTGGACTTGGAGTCAGCTGTCACGGTGCTACTGGGACTCCAATCTCCCCCACCCCCCATCCTTACCATGGCCTAGGAACTTGGCCCTGGTCCCCAGTTGTCCCTCCCCATATACAAGGGGTACAGCCTGTATTCATGTTCACATTCCCTATCCTAGCATGTCAGAGCTGTGCTCAGTGCCCTGGAGGGCTCCCATCGCTGGCCACCAGCCCACGTCATGCAGTCCTGCTCTTGAGTACCGCACACATGTTGCGGATGGGGGCACACGTGCCGGCTCGCATGCCTGCCTTGGCCCTGGGGAGTGGAGAGTCTGGTAGGAACAGTCTCCCCTGATGCAATCATCAACTCATTCTCTCAGCGCCACGGAGGCAGGGCCGGCTCCTTGCTCCCTGCAACCACTGGGCACAGCTGGCAGCCTTTCTGGCACACGGGAGGCAGTGAATTAGTGGGGCCTCTTTAGCAAGTGGCGTTAGACTCTGGATGGGGGTGCTCGTCCAAGGCAGTGTCCGCACGCCTGTGCTAGGTTCTCAAAGGTTCAGAGGTGTGTGTGTGTGTGTGTGTGTGTGTGTGTGTGTGTGAGAGAGAGAGAGAGAGAGAGATAAAGAGAGTTGCCAAGGAGACCTTTTTAGCTTCTTTCCCTTCTCTCCCCCCCCCACCCCGCCCCCATCTCCTCTCCAGCCATCTCTCTACCATCAGGATCCTGCAGTCTGGGTCCTGCCCATCCCCCAGAATCCTGTGCACTGGGTCCGGCCAGTGCTGGGAAGAGAGAAGAGTGATGGAGACTGACAGAAGGAAAGGAAGATGGAGACAAGAAGGGAGGCGAAAAGGAATGGGAGGGGAGATAGGTAGCACTGAGGAAGAAGGGCTCTAGGGAGGGAAGGAAGGAAATGGGGGAAAGGCAAGAAAGAAAAAAGGAGAGCTGAAAGGAGAAATGGAAGTGGAAGAACAGGTGGATTTGGTGATGGGGGTGATGGCTGGAGTGGGGCTGGACTGGCCCTGCCCCCTGAAGCCATCTCCATGGTTTCTGTCAGAGTCAGGGTGAAAGCTGGTCCTCTATGCCTCCCTCCTCCCTCTTGTCCTCTAGTCACTGCTGGCTCTTCCGGGATGACCCTGGGACCTCCCCCCATGGGCTCTGCTCTCTTCTGACATGCTCCATTTCATGGGAGAAGGTGAGGAGGAGAAACTGGGTGGTCAGGCCAAGCCATCACCTCCTTTGTTCAGAACATTAGATTCCCATGACTACAGCCTCAGGCCTTGTGAGCCCTCTCGCTCTAGCTCCAAGTCCTTTGTTCTACAGGAACTGCTGCAAACCAGGCCTGGGCAACGTGATGTTCAAATCATGAGCTCTACTCCAGTGGGGCCTCAGAGAATGACACCCTACAGTGCTGGGACTCGAAGATGGTGGTGTGAGCTTCCATGATGCAGAGAGAGCAATGTGTCGGGAAATCTTCAATAATAGCAATTCCTATCTGTTGAGTACTTACAGGGTCAGCCACTGGGCTCATCTCATTTAAGCCATAGAATAGCCCTGGAGGTAGGGAATATTTTTAACTCTGCAGGCACAGAGACATTAGGACACCTATCCAAAATCACGCAGCCTGTAGGTCGTGGAGTTGCTCTAACCACTGCACAGTTCCCTCTCTCTTGGACAATAACCGGGGTGTCCTCAGTGGTCACTAAGGGCTGTTCCAGCATTTCCATGTGTGGACGCGATCCCCTCCTGGGAACCGGTTCCAAGGTCGGCAGGGAGCGGTGGTGCGGCCCTTCCCCCACGTCCCCATTTACATAGCTAGCCTCTAGCGGTGTTCCGGTGTTCCGTGCCCTGCCTGCTGCCCACCGGCTGTGAGCCCAGAGCACAGGCTTCTCTTCTTTGCCTCTGAATTGCAACGTTGGCGGCAGAAGCGGGAAGCATATTGTGCACAGAAACAAAACTGAGTGGTTTTTCCTTTTTCTGAAGGTGGTAATGGTACAATTAGTGGCTAAGCCATCACCCCTCCTCCCTTGCTCGCTTCTCCTCCTTCCCCTCTGCCTCCCTCCTGTTTCTCTCCTGGGAAGAAGTGGCTGCATCATTCCCACCCTCGACTTCCAGGAATAGGGGTAGAATTTGGGGGATGGGGTACCTGATGTCTCCAGGGACCCCTGGACCTAAGGATGTGAGTCGGGGACCTGCTGGGGTTGGGGATTACCAACAAGCAGACACCATGTCCAGAAAATGAAGTGACCAGTAAGGCAATTTAGAGGTTCTCAGGGGCTGGGCTAGACACCCAGAGGGTTCGGATCCCATTATCCAACCTGTGCTCATTATGGGCAAATGCTGGCCTGAGACCTCAGCCTGGTGGGCTGTTAAATGGGCTTGAATGGAGGGAGAAGGTGCGAAGGGTCTGAGATTCTAAGTGCAAGCTGGGAGTGATGCAGGTGGTCATGGTCCTGCCTTAGACCTTCCCTTTCCTCTTCTAGAAACTAACAAGAGGCCTCCGTAGCCATTAGCCCGCTCCATCTTCACACCCTCCTCTGAGGGGCAGCTTTGCTCTGTTTTGCAGAAAAGGAGCTGAAGGCTCAGAGGGGAACATTGACTTTCCAAGGGTCACACAGCCAACAAATGTCAGAGCTCCAAGTGAGCTCAGATCCTCAGACTCCAGTCTTCTTCCTTCTTAACCCCCCAGGCCTTAGGGTGAGATTTTGGGGCCGCATATATGGCTCTTGCCCTGAAGAGTTGAAGTTGGCTGGGAAAGTACCCACAGGATTTGGGAATGAGGGCTTCAGGGCAGGTCTGTGGCCGCTTCTCTCCATGCCAGGCCATGCTCCCCTCCCCACTGCCTCCTCCACCTCTTTCACCTTGACTTGAAGCGCCAGCAGAAACTGGGACACCAGCCCCAGGAGACCAGCTCTCCAAGGTCCCTCGGGGGCATGGGCCGGGGGAGAGGTTATGGAAGAGCCTCAGGAGGGACCAACTGTTACAGCTGTGAAAGGGGGACTTCTTCCCCAAGCTAGAGCACCCGTGTGATGGGCAAAGTGGGAAAGAGCAGAGATAAGAAAAAATAAGAAAAAAAGGCAGAAGAAAAAAATACAGAGGGGAGCAGAGAGACAGTTATAGAGACTACAGTGAGAGAGAGAGAGAGAGAGAGAGAGAGAAGAGAGATCCCAATGAATTAGCCATCATTTCCCTATAAACCCTAGAACCCCGCTGTTGCCAGGACAACGGGGCAATACCTGTCTCTCCAGAGGAGCTGAAGTTGCCAGGGTAACTGCATCCTGTCTTTCCTGGGGACCATCCTGGAATGTGGCATCCACCATTACCATGGCAACTGCCTTTTTACCCCATTTAATCCCATCTGAGGGCCCCACAGTTGGAGGTGGGGGAGGTGGAAAGAGAGCAGATCACTTGTGGATGAAGTTTGTTCTCTCTGGGGTGCTTTATCCACCTGCCCCCAGCCCACACATGCCTGCAGTATTGTGTGCGGTCAGGCCAGGGCGTCCTAGAGGAGCAGGTTTCGCAGTGGAAGGCAGGCAGGTGTTGGGGAGGCAGTTACCGGGGCAACGGGAACAGGGCGTTTCCGAGTTGGTTGCCATGGGGACCTGGATGCTGACGAAGGCTCGCGAGGCTGTGAGCAGCCACAGTGCCCTGCTCAGAAGCTGGGGGCTCCTCAGTCAAGCCGGTTCTAGGTTCTCACTCGGCAGCACGGGCAGGCGAGTGGCTCCTGGTTCCGGGAGCAGAACAGCAGTGCCCCAGCCCTGGTCCTCCAGCCCTGAGCCTCGCCTGCCCGCACGGCACCAGGATGGCCACCATCACCTGCACCCGCTTCACGGAAGAGTACCAGCTCTTCGAGGAATTGGGAAAGTGAGTTACACCTTAGAGAGTCCTGGAGGGCTCAGGGGCTCCGTGCCATGGGGGGGGGGGGTGTACCTGCAGTGTTTCCCGTGCTCACAGAGGGAGGAAGGCTGTATGTGTTTGGGGGCACTTGCATGTGCAGAGTGTCCAGAACTGGCACGGGCATGTTTGTGGGTACACAGATGTGCCAAAACCAGCTGGGTGAGTGTGTGTATAGAGGTGAAGGATTGATGATGCAGGCCAGTGAGTGCACACACATGTACGTGCACACACACATCCCATGACCTGGGCGCACACGGATTCTTAGAAACTCGGGGTTAAAAAGGGATTTTCCTGTCAGCTGAGTCCAAGGCTGGAATTCCCTGTGAGTGTCTCTGGCATCCATGTGGGTGCCTCTGGTGACAGAGAGTTCAGCACCTCTCGGGAAGTCCTCCCTGACGTTAGGCAGCTTCCACGATGGCAGAACAGCCAACTTCTCCCTGGAAGCTCATCCTCCCCCGACTCTCCCCTCCCAGCTCCTGTAGGAGCGAGGGCATCGGCACAGCAGGGGTTAATAACTGAGCGAAGGCTGAGGCTTTCTGGGGTTGGGAGGAGGGGAAGGGCAGCCGGGCAAGTTGGGAGGGGGCACTGCAGTTGCAGGGGCTAGTGGTGTGAGGTGCACCAGCTCTGGTCCTTGGCAAAGTTGTCCAGCCCAGAGCTCATTTTCTGCCTCTGATGACTGGTGTGGAGAGAAGGGTGGGGAGATGGGGGACGAAGAGCCCCTTGGGGTAGCCCTAAGGCTATGGAGTGCTAGGGAAGCATTCCTGGATGCCCCCAGTAGAATTTGTGGAAGGTGCAGGAATGGATCCAGGGTAAGGGTACAGTTTGGAGGCAGTTTGCCCTTTGGGCAAAACCACTCCAATGCCCTGGGTGTAGCGGCAGGAGTGCAGGGAGAGGGGCTCTGTACGCAGGTCTGGGCTGCTGTGAGGTCAGGAAGTGCACACACAAGTGTTCATTTGATGTGTGTTGTATAAGGACTGACTCTGGCGTACACTCTGTGCACCTAAAGGGTGTGCGAGTGTTCAAGTGTGCGCACCAGGAGGAGGTGCTGGTGTGTGAAGCCTGAAAATGCAGGTGTGCCCTGCAAGCGTGGATGTGTGCAAGTGGCACAAGGAGTGCTGTTGGCTGGTTTGCATGGGAGTGAAGGTGTGAGCGTGCGTCACATGTATGGCAAGTCAGCTGTGTGCACATCAGCAGGCAAATATGTGTGAGGTCTGGGCATGTGCAAACATATGTTTGTGTAAGGATGCACATCTGAGACTTAGGCACAGTGGTGACCCTTTGAGGTCTGGACATGCATTTCCGTGTGAGGACCTGGGAACATGCACACAAGAAGGTGTATGTGTGTGCGTGTGAGGCCTGAGCCCACAGGCTAGGGTGGGAGTGTGGGTGTTTTGAGCTCTTGCTGGTGTCTGCATATGTGTAGGAGGTGGGCCTGTGGCTGTGTACAAGTGGGCTGTCTGCACACACACACACACACACTTGCACACTGGGCAAGCCTGACACCTACAGGCACACGCCAGTTCCTTCATACAGACACCCCTGTGCAGACGTGTGCTCACTCTTGTCTGCAGACTACCTGTCTTTCTGAGTGTGTTTTTGTGCTGGGGAGGCAGCAGGAACAAAATGTTTAGGGCTGCCCTGGAGGACTGAGGCTGTCTGCCAAGCTTGTGTGGGGACCCCCTTCTCAGCTGGTTTCCAGGGCCCACTGGAAGGCAGGATTCCCTGATTAGCTGGGAGCTGCCTTTCAGGGTGCGCTGGCAGGACTGCGTCACAGAGTGCAGTGAAATGGAGTTAAAATGTGACTCAGGTGCTCAAAATGACAATAAAAGTGATGTTTTGCCCCATGAGGAGATGGAGCTCATGAAGACTGGGTGCTGTGGGGGCGACTTGGCAGAGAGCCTTCTCAGCCCCGTTGCCTGCCAGGGTGCTTGGAGGGACCTGGGCCATGGCAGCGCTTCAGGAGACAAGGAGCCCTGGTGTGTCCATGGCAGGAACGCCGAGGGTGGCAGGCGTGGCCAGGCCTTGTCTAATCCATTTCAGAGCTCTTCCTTCCAGAATCATCAGTGCTCTTAACCTTTTCTAGGTCACATATTCCTCCAGGAATCTGACGAAAGGCTAAGTCTACATTCCTCAGGAAAATGCGCAAAACTAAGATGTGTTGCATGCAATGTCAGGAGCTTGCAGGACCTCAGGAAGGCTGCGGCTGGGCCTCAGGTTAAGGATGCTTGCATTGGAAAAAAGGGGATGAGGACCCACACCTCTGATCCTAGCTGAAAAAGGCCAGGGGACCACGGGGAGGGGGGTCTTCTGCTCTGCATGACAGCTTCAGCCCAAGAGGCCAGTAGGAACAGTGCCCAGCACAGGGTATAGGCTCTGGACCTCACCACCCACAGCTCAGTGACGTTGGACAGGCTATGGCACTTCTCCCCCTCCCCCCGCCCCCCCACCTGGAGATAAAAAAGGGCTGTGAGGATGAGATGAGATGGCGCACGTGAAGACGTAGTGACAAGCCCGGCACACAGTGGGCCTTCCAGACAGCATTGCTTCTGGGGACTGGCGCACCAAAGATGCGTGTAGGGCCCATCCTTCAGTTTGGTGACTCAAGGTCCCTGCCAGCTGGGACACTGCAGTCACCACCCACAGCTGAGCCCCTGTTCCAGGAGCCCACTTCAGATCACTGGCAGGGTGACTGGCAGAGACAGCTGGGTGGGCCCTACCAGGGGACATGGGAGCCTTTAGACCTCCTTTGGCAGGGCCCTGGGCTGCCCAGCTGGAGAGGAGGGCACGTGCCTCTTGAGGGCTTCCTGGTGTCCTGCCCAATGAGGTCTGGCTCGTGACTGCAGGCCTTCCTTCAAGGAGCCCAGGGGTAGGGCTGGCTGTGGATGGAACCGAAGCTGCCTGTCTCCCTCCAGGTGGGCAGCCAGCTGGGGGTGTGGGCTGGAGTCAGTGCCCTGGGCAGGGGCTTCTAAGAGCCTCTTGATGCCACTGGAGGAAGGTCCCACTGCAGATGTGAGTCAGATAAGCCAGGAATTGATTCCAGGTCCCTGAGAGGGGTGAGGTGGGGCTATCTCTTAGACCCAGAGCCTCGCTCACTCTCCCCTCCCTCGACCCCAATCCTCCTTCCTCCCAGGGAATGAGAGAAATGAAAGCCGGACCTCAGGAGCACAGAAGCTCACTGGGAGGCAGGCTGCAGCGACACCAGCTCAGGGTCAGGGTGGGCCTGGGCAGTCGGGCCATTGCTCCCGGCAGACCAGACAGGCGTTCTCCGTTCTCCGGAGACTGGGATCAGGGGAAGGGGTTAGTTTCCAGCAGGTGGAGCAGGGGGTGACTCCTTCAGCCTCTGACATTCTCTGGGCTTTGGCTCCCACTGCCAGGGGAGGTTAGGGAGCCGAGAACTGCCCTGCAGCCTGTGTAATCACCAGGCATAAGAAGGAGCCTCGGAAGGAGACAGTGCTTGAGAGAGGGAGAGGGAGGGAGACCAGAGAGCGGGTGCAGCCCACTCTTTTCTCCCGAGACACAGGGATGGATCTGAAACTGTCTCAAGGGCGTGTGGGGCTGGGGGAGGGCTTTCAAGGGCCAGCGAGGTTGGCAGAGGGGGGGCGGAGAGCTGGCTCTGGAACCGCTGCCCCCTCTGCTTTGTGTGGTGAACCAGCCGTGGGCTGGGCTGATCAGGGGTCCACACTGGGGTCCAGAGGCAGCTCCCTGCACTTGGGTGTCCAGGGTCCTGGGTGCCCCTCTGGGGACCCAAACTCTAATGTCTGCCCAATGTGTGTAGCTCTCTGGTCCTTCCCGAGCTGTTAGGAGGCTTGATGATGTAACACTGAGGAGAGAGGGCACCTGGGCATGGACACACCGCCCCGAGATGGGTGTTGTGCGTTTATTTTGCTTCTAATAACCTATTACATTCACAGCACTGTGGCGCCGGCGGGGCTGTTCTCCCCCGATGAGCTCATCTGGGCGGGAGGCCGGGGGCTTACTTATCCATCTCACAGATGAGCAGACTGACGCTTGAGCAGGTGGGATGACTGGCTCGGGGGGCTGGGGACAGGGCTTAGACTTGCATGTGGGTCTCCAGCACCTGCATATGGGGGAAGGTTGACGAGAGGGTCCCCTCCTGGTGCTGTGTCTGGGGAACACTACTAGGAAGAGGGGCGGTGGCCTGGTGGGCGAGGGACTCTGAGCTGTGGCTTGTTTTCCAATCACGATTCTGCCTCTCATTTACTGGGCCACCCTGGATGGATCCCTTGTCCTCGGTGTCCCTCAACTTTGCCATCTGTATAATGGGATCGGAATAACTTTGCAGATGCTAAAACGCCCCCATTAGAGTTGCTGTCCTCGTTAGGCTCCCTCTGTGGGAGGCACACGCTCCCAGAACCTCAGGACTGAAAGGACCATGGACACGTCTCTACTCATAGCACAGATGGTGAAGTCAATACCCACAGAGAAATGAAATGGTTTGCCCAAGGCCACAGGGAGAGGCAGTGCCAAGCCAGGGGAGGGGGCCCGATGATGTGCAGGGGCCAGAGGCCAAGGATGGAAAGTTGGGGCGCAGGTCCTCAGGAGGGGGTGGCAGGGACAGGGGAGGGTACAGCCTTTCTCCCTCCCCCTGCAAGCCATCAGAGCGGCAGGCACGCACATGTTCTGGTGCATGCGGCAGCCCTCCGCCCCCACGCAACCGCCCCCACACAGGCTGAGACACACTGACACTCTGCCGAGCCGCCCGCCTGCCCGCCTCCTGCATAGGCACACAGTGACACTGCTGCCAGCACCCCTGCAGGCTGGGGCCCCGGCTCGCTCAGTGGGGTGAGGGCAGAGCCCTGCAATGCAATAGCAGCATCCTTTTGCTAGTGCGCACACACACACACATGCACACGCACACGCACATGCACACACGTGCATACATATGCATGAGGGCATACACACACTGGCTCCAACTGGGCTTTAAGTACAAGTTCACCTCCCAGTGC